TGGAGGGGGGAGACACAACAGCCCCTTTCCACTGCAACAAGAACTCCTCCTTGTCACTTCACTCACCCCAAGTCATCCTAGCTAAGACTTGAACTCAGATCTCCAACATGGTAGGCAGAAGCTTTATCCCCCTCCAGGTGACCCAAGGGGCCAATCAGGGGACACGGAGGGTGAGACTCTGGGGCCTGATTGGTGAAGAAAGGGAATCCCAAGCCCTCCAATCATCTTTTAACCTTTCAAAACCCCTGGGCTAAATCACTACCAGCTAGCCCTCACAGTTGTATCCCATAGACCTTTGCAGCTCTCTCCCAGGATTCTTTGTCTACGTCAAAAATAAACAATTTACAATAAACAACCCAATTTTATAGTAAAGCTCTGTTCGAAGTCTAATGCGAAATACCACCCTATCATTCACTGAACTGATACCAAAGCTAGCAAGCAGACATATTACTCACTGACTGATATATTATCCTCTACTGCCAAAGCCTCCAGGCACATTGCACAGTCGAAAACAATCCATTAATCTCTGTCAGTGGGAAATCAATGGGAATTGGGCACCTAATTCCCTTAGATGCTTTGGAAAGTTCCACCCTTTATCCATTTATAATAAATCACTTTTAAAAAGAAGAATATATCTCCGTCTATGAACACACTGTATCTATCTGATCCTATCCATCTCTCTCTGAACTTGGGAGATCATTTGTCTTCTCAGACTGCCAGTTCTCTGGAACAAGACCTGAAAACTGGGACCTCATGTATGTTTACACAGTACTGTGTAATGCAACCCTTTAGCCACTGCTATACTAGAAATAAAACAACAATAGTAATATAGGAAATAGATTAATAGCGCATTAGCTGCTGAGCAGCAGCGCACATGTAGACGCTGACCAGGCTCAGATGTGGAGGGGAGCTGTGCCGGCTGTGGGGCCCGCTGTCTCCCCACCACATGGGGATTGGGACCCATCCTCATCCCCGTGTGGCCAGTAGAGCTGTCCCAGAAGCTGGCACTGCTGCGTCCCAGCCACTTGGTGATTGGACTGTGACTTGATGCCCATGTGACCAGGAGACCTGTCCCCACTTGGAGGGGACACTGCCTGCCAGCCACATGGGGATTCTCACATGGCTGGCAGACAGCATCCCTGCTGAGCAGGGACAGCTCTCCAGGCCATGTGGGGATCAGGACCAGCCCCTGTGCCCCCTGTCAGCCCCAGGCGTGGCACGCGCGGGAGCCTGGAGCTCCCCCTAGTTGCTGCAGGGGGGCAGAGCAGGGCAGGAGCAGCCCTGGACTGGGCTACTCCTGCCAGTTGCAATTTGCTCCCAATTGGGGTGCACATGTAGACATGTGCCCTGGAGCACTTTTAATGAGCCTGAATTTTCTGTGAAGAAAATACGGGTGCGTTAATTGCACATGTAGACATGCTCAGTGTGTATTAAGGTGGTCTGTAATAAAACAAGACCTGATTTTCCATTACCAAACACCTTGTATCTCTATTTATACCAGTGCAGAGACAGTGTGAAACAAGTAAATACAGATGGTGGAATATCATACCCATCTTGTACTGATGGAAGTAACTAGGATGTCGGCTAATGGAGCAGCAGGCAATTACATATTATCTTTTGATAAGCACATACAGCAGTGGTGCTTGACTTTTTTAGACTCAAGGCACCCCCCAGAAACTGCCAGCTCTCTGTTTTCATTTGTTTTTTACTGTAGAAAAACATTATAGGTCCTCAAGGAATCTATTGTCTATTGTAAAGCACCTAGAGAGCAAAGTGATCAAAAGCAACTAGCATGGATTCACCAAGAGCAAGGCACACCTAACTAATCTGATTTTCTTCTATGGTAAGGTGACAGACTCTCTGGATGGGGGGAGAGCAGTGGATGTGATACAGGGTCTTCATAAAGTCCTTGTGCACTTTTAAACTTTAATAACTTAGGTTGTAGGTATGATAGAAACAATCTGTAAACGGCATTTAAAAGCAAATGTATTAAAATTTTAGGACAGCTAGAGTACACAGTGCTAGACTTCAACATAACCACCATCCATCATGATACAGTGCTTGATCCAATCTTCGAACTCCTTGAAAACGTTTCCCAGTTGCTCTTGAGTTACTGCACTAATTGCATTGGTGATCCTAGCCCTAAGTTCCACCAAAGAACGTGGTTTTGACAAGTAAACTACATTTTTAACATGTCCTTATAAAAAGAAGTCCAACGGCGACAGGTCAGGTGAACAAGGTGGCCAAACAACTGGTCCACAACTGCCTATCCACTCCTCTGGGAAAATGTCATTTAGGAACCGTCGTACATTCAGAGCATAGTGGCACGGAACGCCGTCTTATTTAAGAATAAATTCATTATTACTTATGAAGTCTAGCATTGCGTACTCTAGTTGTCCTAAAACTTGAATAGATTTGCTTTTATATGTCGTTTACAGATTGTTTCTGTCATACCTACAACCTAAGTTAGTAAATTTTAAAAGTGCACAAGGGCTTTATGAAGACCCTGTATATCTAGACTTTAGCAAGGCTGTTGATGCTGTCTCCCACAACATTCTCATTAACAAACTAAGGAAATACAGACTAGATGCAAGTACTGTAAATTGGATGCATAACTGATGGGATCATCATGCTCAACACGTAGCCATCAATAGACCAATGTCTACTTGGGACGACATAACAAGTAGGGTTCCCCAGGAGTTTGTCTTAGGTCCTGTATAGTTTAATACCTTCATTCATGATTTGGAAGATGGGATGGAGTGCACACTTAGCAAATTTGTAGATGACACCAAGTTGGGTGGACTTGCAGACACTCTGGAGGATGGAGCTAGGATAACCTGGATAGATTGGGAAAATGTCCGCAGTCAATCAGATGGAATTCAATAAGGACAAGTGCAAAGTCCTGCAATTCAGACAAAATAATTGCATGAACAAATACAGACTGGGGAATAACTGACTTAGATGTAGTACTGCAGAGAAGGACCTGGAGTTTGCCATGGGGAGATCCAGTATTTACTAATGGGGGGTGTGGTACACTGCCTCTCACACCATGGGGGGTTGAGATAAGGAGTGGCTGGAGCCCCCAGGTCAGTGGGGGACACCATGGAGCCAAGCAAAGAGCAGGTACACGAAATGGGGGGGGACTCATCCCCTGTCCTGTTCTCCCACCCCTTGCCAACACTACTGCAATCTAGAGCTGTGCGAAATTTCAACGGGTGTTTCATTTCAAAGCTGTTTTGACAAGTTTCAAGCTTGAAACAGCAAAATTGAAACAAAACAAAAGGCTTCAAAACAGCTTAGAAACAAAACGAGGGCACTCGAAACATTTCAAAAGTTTCAAAACATTTCGAGTTTTGAAGCTGGGCTTGCTTGCAGCTAAACAGAAAGTAAGGAGAGGGAGGGGGAAGAGGGGGAAAGGACTCCTCTGACAGTGCCTGTGTAGCTGGCCAGTGACTGTGATCCTTCCCTGAGGTCCCTTCCAATCCCCGAGCTCTGTGGGAGGGATGGAAAAACAGCATAAAAAGCACTGTTTAAACTGAGCTTTCTCTGTGCCTTCACACTTACAAGTGACGCAAGTTTTGCTCTGAACAGTTTGAGGTGCAGTTTCTCAGAAACCCCTGCACCTATTTCCTTGAAACTTCAAAGGCTTTGTGGCCTCAGCAGGGGCTACCATCCTTGCTGTTGTCATTCGAATCAGGAAAGAAACGACAACGTTATAGGCATTTTTGTGATTCCCCACGATAGCCTATGGGCGAATTGTCAAAACGCATCGAAACAGCAAAACAGTTTCGACTAAACAAAACAGACCAGTGCTTTGAAACAGTGAAACAAAACACTGTCCCTTTCAACCAGCGAAGTGGAAGTCAAAACAAAATGGTGCTGTTTCACATAGCTCTCCTGCAATCCCTGGGTGACCTGGGGTCAGAGCGAGGTCCCAGAGCCACTCCTGCCCCACTCCAGCTGCGGGCTGAGGGGAGCTGCTGTGTGGGGTGCAGGGTGCTGGGCTCAGCAGTGGACAGCAGAAGTGGCACGCAGTTTTCCTTCTCCAGTCCCTGCTCCCTGCCTACCCGCCCCCCCAGGTGTCTCCTACTGGCCAGGAGCAGGTGCTGGAAGGAGGAACCTGCACATTGGCTCTACTGTCTCTGATCAAGCCAGCACCCCATGCGGCTGCACTTAGGGCCGGATCAGGGAAGGAGCAGTTCTGGGGTTTCCCCTGCACCTGGATCAGCCAGGGACAATGGTGGAAGGGGAGTTCAACTGCACCATCACCCCCCCACACACACACACACACACACACACACATCCCTATATCTACTTCGGGGGCTTCAGTGGAAAATAAGCTGAATATGCTCTTGTTGCAAAAAAAGCCAACAGCATCCTTGGTTGTATTAAGAGGAGGGTCACTTACTAATCAAGGGAAGTGACTCTTCTGCTCTATCCAGTACCACTGAGGCCTCACCTGGAGTGGTGTGTCCAGTTCTGGGCCCCAGGATTCAAGAAAGACGTGGACAGATTGGAGAGAGTCCAGCACCGAGCAACAAAAATCATTAGGTACATAGGAAGCAAGATTCATGAGGAAAGACTGAGAGCTAGGATTGTTTAGTCTGGAAAAGAGAAGGCAGAGGGATTTGATAATGGAGGATGGAGATGGGCTTTCTTCTGTGGCCATAGGGAACAGGACTAGGAGCAATGGCCTCAAGCTGCAACAGGAAATTTAGGTTGGAGATTTGGAGGAACTTTCTGACTATGAAGGTGGTCAAGCACTGGAACAGACTACGTGGAGAAGTTGTGGAAACTCCACCCCTGGACATTTTCAAAAACAAGTTGGACAAACACTTGGCTGGGATGGTTTAGTCAGAGACAATGCTGTCTTGAGCAGGAGGCTGGATTAGATGATCTTGTGAGGTCCCTTCCAGCCCTGCTTGCCCATGAGCCTATAGAGCAATTCTTCTGTTACAAAGAACTCAGAAAATCCACAATAGATCCAAATGTTTTTAACACTATGGGTTCCTATTTGAAATCTCTGGTTTAGTTTTGCAGTTCATGTTAGCACACCTACCAGTGTTAACATGGCATGGCACCCTGCAACAGCTAAAAGTCAAACACTGAGCCTCTAGCAGGATGGCCGTTGGCTGAGTCCTTCTACTCCACGCATTGCTCCAGCTTCTGGGACTGGGGAGAACCGTTGTCAGAATCACACTTGTTATTCAGCTGATCCCACACTTCAGCAAATTAGATACAGATTGGTGAGGGATTGTTTTCCTATCCCCATGTAAAAAAAAGATAACTCACAACATTCTGGATAGCTCCTTCATAGGAAATTAATTAATCATGGGAATCACCAGATAATGTCAGAAGGCACCTGAGCAGCTTCATAAGATGGACATGTCATTTCAGGTTGATCCTGCCACTCTACATGAAATAAATGGACTAAGGACTTTTCAGAATCCTTTTGGTGCCCAGAAAGGTTTGGTTGCTTCCTTCTCAATGCTGACCCATGCTGGTGAGGTGATGGGGTTCACCATCCCCACAAAGGCAGCTGGAAGTACTAGTCCTCTAAAAGACCTCATGGTCACAATCTAGAAAGCACAGCAACACATGTAGCAACACAATACAGTCATTGTGGTGCCCATACTCGTTTAATGCCCTACCCTTAAACCATGTAAGTCAACAGTTAGGTGCAATAGGAAGTGCTTCCCATACTGTGAGGCATCATTTAGTTATCAGCAGTCAAGTGTCTTTGTTTTTACATTATCATTTACAGTTGGTAGCTGGTGTCTGCCTTGGCAGCCAGCATTCCCATATAAAACCTTTCTATTCTAGGATGAATACAACCAGGATCTGTAATGACCCAAAGTTGTGACTGCCTGATGTTTCTTGGCTGCATCTTACCCAATGCACCATAATTATTGCCATAATTGGTGATGATTCACTCCCCACAGGAGTCAAAGCATAAACTAAGAATCGATTGTCTTTGAGCTCAAGCTTATCCTTGGAGATAGCTTTGCCAGATCAAGGCTGTTAAGTCTTGATGGGACAGTGTAGAAAGGCCTGAATTCACACTGCTCATTCTGTACTTGACCTCTGGATAAAGAGAGGATGTTGGTCTCCACAGGCTGTCAAACACTCACAAGCACTAAAAAACACACACGGTTTTTTAAATCTTATAAGGGCTCCTGATTTATATTCATGGTCCCTACTGCATAATCTTCATTTCACTGCATTGTGAAGGCTCCATATGGCTAGGCAACCTCGCCTTTGCGGCGCTACCAGCACAGTACCTGGAAATTTCCTCTGTCAGAAATCGATAGGAGGATAAGTCAAAACCATCCCTGAAAAGAAAAAAGAGCAGCCGTGGTCTTAAGCAAGTAAGCACACGTACCCCACTGTAAACAGCAAGTGCATCAGAATTGAATTACTTTACACTAAAATTGCTGCTCAGGCCAAATAGAAGCAATATCCACATTTCCCTCTTGAAGCAAAATGCGTTAGAAGAACAAACATGATTATGTTGGAAATGGAAGGAGAATAATCTCTAGAGCGGAAGGAAATGTTTTGGACAAATATTCCATTTGCTGAAAAAGGCAGATTTGGGTTGGCCAAAACACCGTGTGAATTTGTGTCCAAGTTCTTCAGTTGTTTCAGTCCGGAAAAAAAAAAGGAAAAAATCTGAAACATCTCAACATGACATTTTCAATGGGAAATGATTTGATTCTTCATTTTGAAACGATGATTCGTTGCAACATCAGAAAGAAAACAAAAAGTAAAGAAAAGCCTGGTTTTGAACTAACACGGTTCATTTTAGGTCAAAGTAACTGTTTGGGTTGACCCCAAATGAATTTTTTTGTCAGTTTTCTGGTTCAGCCAGCAGACCAAAACAATCCATTATTCACGCAGCTCCAATCTTCACTCTGCTGCAGCCATCCTGATTAAATTAAAGGTAATGAGGAATTGGCTGAAAGCCCCGTCTACACGTCAGGACCAGATGCTGCTCTTGCCATAAAGTGAATGATAAAGGACGGAAGTGCACTTGCCTCAGCAGAATCTACAGTAGCCATGAAGAGTAGAAATGCCACCAAATTACCGAACCAAATAATACTGTGGATGGTATTTTCACTTGGCAGCTGCTGTCCCATACGGTCACATTCATCTTACTCAACCAATGTATTTAAGGCACAAACATCCTAAGTTAACACATCTTGGTCTATCATAAAGCCGATCTCGTAGTAGCTGCTCTGAATCCAGCTCTGACCTCGTTAGTTCTGAGTCTTTCAGAGCCCCTGCTGCTATAATAACCTAGGGACACCCTGCGGGGAACAGGGCAGGACAAGGACACCCCTAGCAGAGAAACCCTTCCTTTCTCCTGCTGCTTTCCTCTGCTGGTGAGCTCAAACATTTCACCCAGGCTGCAAGTGTAAAAGGAAATAAATACTCACTGGAAAGTGGGACCCACTGGAAGAAATCGGGTTAGCTGGCTCACTTGATTCAGCACAGGTCATTTCCAGAGGCAGCCAGGCATTCGCACGGCACTGCACAGGGAGAGGAAGATCTCTAGTTTTGACCAAGCACCTGTAGCCCACCTCCCTGTTCTGCAATGCAACATAACCTTCCCCAGACACACACACACCCATCCATCCCCTCACTCATAAGCACCTCCTGCACCTTTATTTTCTGCAGGTTTCCAGTTGGAGATTTCAACTGATTGCCTTGCTGTCATGTACATGAGTCCAGATATTGACCCCGACCCAAGCCAAAACCACTCACCCAGCCAGTTCTGGATTACATCCCTGCACTAACTGAAATGAAAGGCTTGAACGGCTCAGGATTTCTGTCCCTGCCATCCCACGCAGATAAACTCGGCAGTGCAACAACAGATTGCAAGAAACAGGACTCTGTGTCTCTCGTGCTATGCGGGGGTGGATATGGGCAAGATGTGCTTGCAGCACATGCACAAGGGGAGGTGGCAATGAGGAAGAGCAGGAGGGGGGCTTTGCAGCTGCATAGTCCCACTACTACAAGAAGCAGAAGAAGCCAAAGGCAGGGAAGGAAGGGAAGTACTGAGACGGGAAGGGAAGGGAAGGGAAGGAAGGTCCACATCATTGGACTGGGGAATGCTTTTAAACAGACAAGATTGGCCACCATTAGGGTCTGAGAGAAAGATGCCCTCAGTTAACTCAGGGGGTGATTTGAAACCCAAAAGGGCTTAAACAGAGCAGAAGAGCACATGGCCATTCTTGTTCCTGTTTAAACCAGGCACGTTTTCATTTACTTTCAGTCATTTGGGAATCTGTCATTCAGATTCATGCAGCCGAAGTCAAGGCAGCTGTCATGCAGAAAGGGCCTTGGCGATGTTTTTCTCCGCACGTTGCAGCCTCAGATCCCAAGCACTTAGGAAGAGATCCGGAAGACAGGATTTAGGCACGTGAGTCCAAAATTGTGACCCCAGTGCCCCTGTGCAGCTGCTTCCTAAACTCCATGGGCACCTTCCTAACTTTGTGACTGGGAGGAGACTTCAACACCCAGAGCTGTGTTTTTGTGAGTTTGTGGCACTGCTGAAGCCTGAGCCCCTGAGAGGCCTATGTCCCTCCTAGCACCAAGCAGGATGGGAAACCAGTGCGCCCCCCCCCCCCCCCC